GGCTGCTGAATCAGCACAGCGAGGAACTTAGAACCGAAAGGTCCCAGAGTCCAGCCCCGCTCAGTTATCCGTTTTCATTCTTCCGAGATTGATTCAGTACCACTCCATGGGAAAGAAGAACGACTACATGCTATCTTGCCATATAAATCCTGCTAACTCTACCTTTACCATGCGACAATCCTGGCTGATGGTATAGAAACAGAGATCATATAAATAAGGACAACACGTGTTGCTTTAATCACAACCTTTGAATGTTAGGGAGAAGGGCATCGGTTTTTGTAATTTACCCGGATGATGGACAGTGTGTATCTTTCACAGCATTTGGGAGCAAATAAATTTTCTCAACTCGCTTTGTACCTATAACTCTTAAATTGGAAAAAGTTAACTCTTTATCGCTCGGCACGAATCAAAATGAACTTCAGAATAAACTTATTGCTCAGATGAAGGGAAAATAACGAATGATTCTCCAAGACTAGATTTCACAGAGTATTGCACCACCACCTTACTCCTAATTGCATTGGGGAGAGCATTTAAGAGAGGCAACAGCCGCGTGGTAATTGGGCACCTGCAGCGCCAGATGGATCTCGCACCATTTTGTCCGCTAAATGCACCTCGCGCTCTTCGTTCGTCAAGAGCGAGATTTTTACTCACGTCTGTGTCTTTGATTCTGTAACCATTGCTCATATGATGTTATGCCAATAACCATCGGATCATAGCACTTCTTTTCGATATAAGCGAGGATGGGGCAATGAGAATTTGGCCACGCAGGCATAGATGTTGGTTCAAATCTAAACAGGGTGTAAAATTATTTTCGTAACTGTCAATTTTCGTCAAGCCAGGTCTCGCCCTCTGGTTTAACTGTAACCAGCCAAGAAACAGACAGTGTGCAACTGCAGTGTGGATGGACGTGGAAGAGCTTGCAAGACTTCTGGCCGTGGCATCTGATATGAGCAACGTAGAAATGTAACCAATAAACAAACAAAATTAAGGTATAAGACCCACGAAAGTTAGCTATTGCAGGCTGCGAAAAAATAAGTCGAATGAACTGAGATGCGTATGCCTCCGACACCTGAAAGGAAAAGCAGTATGGAAAATGAAAATGAAGTGAGATCAACTTGAAATGATGGATGAACGACAAAAGTGAAACAAGAAAGCTCGAGAATTACCTTCATACAATCCTTCGTTCCTTCCACGTCAATGATCAGCGCACGTTCATCAACAAGGCAGAGGGCTTTGTTGAAAGGTTCAATCGGTTGCCATTGAAAACTGAAATATTTCGGCCTAAGCTGCTGTATATTTTACGTTAGCTATTTAAAAACTGACCTATCAGCGATTTTATGTGATCAGATTCCGTCAATTATTTGATTTTCTCCTGATCACCCTTTACCATACCCTATACTCAAAGAACTGTTTACAAAATTTAATCTAGTCTGAAAGTCAGACTCTGAGACTCATCATCGCAATCGCCTCCTGGGAAACAAACGCCTGTGTCTCAATCACTATTTTCGTTTTAGACATCAAAGTATCCCTGGTTATCTGTTCTTGGTTACCGTTTCGAGTTAGGGTCACAAAAGATGGCGAGCAAGGAGTGTATAGTCCATTTACTTCCACTGAATGTGATCCAATGGCGTATTCGTTTTCCGCTCTCAGGGGATGCGAACTGTGATAGCTGCAAACAACATACCAGCGCCATAGATTCTCAAAGTCATAAGGATCTTTTGAATGCAACGGATGTGCAAGTACACAGCATAGGTCGCCAACTTAGGTATCTCTAATGATGACAGAGACAGAACTATGCAAATGAATGATTTTTGCTTCCAACCGATTCAGTAACTTATTAAACATTTATCTGCTAAAGTAATATTCCACTCCACAATTTCTCAACTGTGCCTCATATAAAGCAGATTAATTTTGTTAAATGGCATAAAGCCTGTTAATCTCATTGAATGTCATTTAAAACGGTTGAAGAATGCACAACAGCGCTGGATTTGACGTAAAATATAAGAAAAGTGTCAGATCGTGTAACCGTAGAAAATTGACTCTCTTTCTACATGGGAACAAGTACCAAACAAAACTGTGGATTAGAAATAAGAAGTTCATCTGTTCGACAGATCTTTTTCTCATGATGTCAGCTTCTCATGTGGGAACCGAAACAACTAGCCGGTCTGGATGTCAAAATGCAACACAGAATAGCAAGACAGAAGGAATAACCTTTCTGACGAAGAACTGTCTGTTCTCGGTCTGTAGCAACCGTCACTAGCTCAAGGCAGTCTCTTAACCTATACATCCTACCGTTCCAAGATCCTTCGCCTATTTCAGAAATCGCAGACTTCGGAAAAACAAATGTCACTGTCAAGATATACAAGTCTGAAGAGTGAAGACATTTCAATCGAAATACACAGCTTCAGGAATGGGTAAATCACCTGGATAAAAACAGAGGGGACACAGTGGACAAGTAGTTTGTTTGCACTTTGGAATGGCCGAGTTCATATCGCATGTACGGCCTAAATTTTATTAGTAGGTGCTATTTCCTTAGAATAGTGAATTCAACCCACAGTGTTTTGACGCAATCGGCAAATAAAAAAGGATGTGAAGATAGCGACCTACGAATAATATGGACAACGTAAAGTACAGGTGTAGTCAGCCACAGTGTGCGAAGCTTGAGACGATGTCATCTGATGCATATGCCTTACAGCTGCCATTCGTCTTGATCTACCTGGCGTCTGTTAAAATTCGGTATAAGGTGAAACCGTGAATAGAAAAATAATCAATATAATTAACAGCCGCAAATTTCCATCACACACTTAAACAGGAGTCAACTATTCACCAAATTAGACCTCATCTGTAACCGAAAATCAGTATACTCGTCTTCAAGAAACAACTAGCCAATGCAACTATCACAAGGAAGAAGAAAAGTTCAAGTCTTCTAGGTAACAGTGTTTATGGCAACTGCAAAACGTGAAGCAAACTAAGACCGAATGCCCCACTTCAGAGAGTCACAGCGGAGCAACCGAAGTAGATGGAGACAATTTGCTGGATCAAATGGCACTTGACCTAAAATTCAGACTTTTAACTTTGGTTCTTTCCGTCAATAATCGAAGTTACGTATGGAGAGCAAGCAACAGCTAAATTACTATATAGCACAACAACATGATGTACGAAATAGCACAAATTCCTGAGCCCCTGCGGCAGCAGTGAGAAACCGAAGCTTGAAAATCATTATCTGGGTACTAGCCCATTGACCATGATATCTCAAATAACGAAGAGCAACAACAACGGCATTCGTGAAAGATACTTATTAACCTTGACAATCTGAAACAATTCACCAGCGAGGCAATGACATTCTTGACCGACTGACATCTGCATATATGTCAAAGCAGTTTTGTTTAGAATAAAAAGTGTCAGATTATAAGCCCTGTCAGAAAGATTCAGAGTACTTATGAATCAATTCTTGAAGAAAGAATGAAGAAACTTTTCATCACACCGACTGCCCTCTGAATACAAAACGAAGACTCGTGGGCAAGTCGAACAAAAGACGGAAAAATACCTGATGAACGATGACAGGAATCGAACAGAAAATAACACCCTTCCACCACTCAAATACCTA